AGTGTATTTCATAGATCTGCCTGTTCTGTTCCCCACTCTGTCTCTGGTGAAGCCTCTCACTGCCCCTGAGCCTCTGGTCTGTACCCCAGTTCTGTAAGCATAAATAAATAAATCTTTAAAAAAAAAAAAAGGATTAAATGTTGGCTTTAAAAGTTTCTACACAGTAAGGGTAGACGCATGTTACTTTTTGATTGGAAGAACTTGGTAGTTCTCATTCTTTTTCTAGTTCTCTGTCTACAAATGTTCCTTGTCAAAATTATGAATGTGAGATTATCCGACTAGGCTGAGTATTCTCTTTGTGTATTGTGATAAGTATAAGACCAAAGCATAGATGCAGCAGTTCTAAGGTGTATTTAAGATGAAATGCTTATACAGCAGATTATATGTTAAGTTACCTAGTTAAAGGACATAATCCTTACAAGTAAATACAGTTTATATCAGTACTTTCCTGTACAATCAAAAAGATAACTTCATTATTAATATTTTGCAATTGTGAGTTCTGGACTAGTTCTGCCTTGTCAGCTTGTAGTTATTGGAAGTAAAGTTGATCTTTTATATCTAGGGTTATGATGAAGATAATTGGTGTTTATATGTTCTAAGTGGAATTAGTAATTAAAGCAAAAGAAAAATTACCTTTTCTCCTCTGCATTTATTGTATTCTTTGGCATGTGCAGAATTCAATGTTTTAATTTCTATTAAGAACTTTAGAGATAGGAAGGTTTTGAAAAGCTTTGACCTCTGATAAGTAACCTATGGAATCACAGACTACAATGTATATGTGCAAGAAAAGTCAAAAACTAAGGCTGAATAAACTTTTATATTGTTCCAAAAGATCAAGTGGGTCCTGGTATTTTTATTTTCTAGACTATCTTGAAGGATCTGGAAAAGAGAAAAGCTGACCTCAATGCCGTCACCGAGAGCAGCGCCGCCCTCCAGAACCTGATCCAGGGTAGTGAGCCTGTCCTGGAAGCTCAGCTGTGTGTGCTCAACGCGGGCTGGAGCCGTGTCCGCACCTGGACAGAGAGCTGGTGCAGCACCTTGATGGTGCGTTTTCCTACAATGTTCTGACTAGAAATCTTCTCTCCTTCAATTCTTTGAAAAGAAGTCTAGCTTCTCTTTTCTCCGTATCACGATAATGTTTTGCTTGTGGCTTATTTTCATTGGGCTACTTCTAATTGTTTCCTTTGCAAAGGTAAAAACTAGAAAGAATTCAAAATGTCTGAGTTAAGTAGTAAGTCATTTGTGATATACATAGAAATAGGTACTTTTTTTTTGAAGATTAATTTATTTATTCATACAGAACTGGGGTACAGGCCAGAGATGCGGAGGGTGAGAGGGTTCACCAGGGATAGAGTGGGGAGCAGAACAGGCAGATCTATGAAGTACACTGCTGAAGGGAGCGGGCGGGTCAAGAGAGGTTTGCCAGTGCCATGTGGATCTCCTCCGGGGCAGGTGGGAATCGAACTCATGCTTAAGTGGCTTAAGCTTCTTAGTGCAGTGCTTTAACCTGCTGCGCCACCAGGGAGGGCCTGGTACTTTATATTTTAAGATTGATTTATTTATACATACAAGAACTGGGGTGGAAGCAAGAGGTGAGGGGGTGAGAAGATCAACCAGAAACAGAGTGGGAGGAGAACTGTCAGAGTTACTGAGCTACAACAGGAGAGAAAGGAGGGACCCACTGTGTGCTGTGGGTCAGCTCCCTGGCTGGGGATTGAACTTGTGCTACAGTGTCTGGGGTAGAGTGATAGTGCTGACACTTTAACCCCAGAAATATGTGCTTTACTATTTTAGTCAGTATACCTTACTTGTTTTATTTTAAAAACGTAGTCTGACACTATCATAGATTGAACACATATATGTAAATATATTTACAGTTGTCTAATAATTGTGTTCTAGTTCAGAAAACAGGTTCTAGCCGCTGACAGCTTTAGCTGTCAAGTTACACCAGTGCCCTCTATGTCTCTGTGTTCTCATTTGTAAAGTGGGCAGCCTTATAAATTATATATGTTTTTGTGATGATTATCTTGTATAAATTATAAGTCACTCTTATAGCCATAAGTTATGAATTTTAGGTATTACGATAGTGATCGTCATCGTTCTTAAATTCTACATTCTTACAGTCCTTCCTCTTCTATTTTGAATCCGGACTTTCCAGATTCTCCTTCCAAATAATATTTTCCTATTCCTATGAGCACATTTTATTTACCTGCTTTATTGAGTATATACATTTGGTACTCAGCAATTCTTATCTGGAATTTAGATCACTACGAAGCCTTTTCTTGTACTGAATATTCTCATTTTGTATTTTCAACTGTTTTTCCATGTTATAGATTAAAGTTGTTTCCTCATCTTTAAGCACTCTTTTCCTTTATTCAGAGAGTTTTTGATTTCATAAGACTTCCTGGTGCTTTTGATCAAGTTCTAGTTTCAGCACTTCATCAAGTTTTAATAAGCCAGATTGTTTGCTTCTCTTCTTTATCTATATTCCCTCAATCATATTTTATATCTGCTTCAGAAAATATTACTGAGGTCTGCGCAAGATTTTAGATTTTGTGCTGGTGACACTGAGTTAAAAAGACAAAGGCCCTGACCTCTAAGTAGTTGTAGTTTGTGGAGTAGGCAGAATCTTAGCCCACATTTTACTTGTTCTTTTATATCGTTACTTTCTTAAACAAGTTTTTGAAAAATATGATCAATGGGGACAAACAAGATTATTTGATTTTGAAAAACGAGGAACAAGAGAGATAAGCAATATGAAACTGAAAAGGAAATGTTCACTATTATCCCCTTCAACTTTTTATGTTATTGATGTTCTAAATCAAATAAATACAAAAAGTGCTTAAGTAAAGCTGTACAGATTTAGGAAGAACTTACTCAGGAAAAGCTTTGCAGCAAAATGGAAACCCTTCTTGAGATTCAGCGTTCAGCAGGCCCTTTGAAGCTCTTTTAAATAGCTTCTGATATTATTGTCATATATTTCATATGGTTATAGAAGCATTTTATTTATTAATTCCTTCCTAGAACCACCAGAACCAGTTGGAAATATTTGATGGGAATGTTGCTCACATAAGCACCTGGCTTTATCAAGCGGAAGCTCTGTTGGATGAAATTGAGAAAAAACCAGCAAATAAACGGGAAGAAATCGTGAAGGTATCGAATGCAAGGAGGAGTGACGGGCCCAGAGTGGCAGGTTTGGCTGTGAGCTTCCGGTTGGTGGGATCCCCCAGTGCCCCGGTGCACGTTCTTCCGGTTCTTGTGGGGAAAACT